GGAAATCATCGATGAGTCATCAACTAACCCTTTTAAGACTTTTATGCGCGATGACAACAAAGAAACCTTCGATGTAAAAATAGAATTTAATGATGAAGAAAAAGATGATAAGGAATTTGAAACATATGCTCGTGCACGAAAAGAATGTAACCAGCTGTCATTTGATACATATTGGTGATAATTTAATGATTTTTCTAAATTTTTTAAAGATTTCATCTTCTATTAGCTAATATTGCCAATTCACCCCCAAAATCACCTACTTTTAATTACTAATTATTTTAAAATTTCATCTTCTAAAAATATTAATTTCAAGTTTTTTTAAAATTTCATCTTCTATTCGTTAATATTGCCAATTTACCCCCAAAATCACCTACTTTTAATTGTTAATTATTTTAAAATTTCATCTTCTAATAATATTGATTTAAATTTTTTTTGAAAATTTCATCTTCTATTCATTAATATTGTCAATTTACCCCTAAAAACACCTACTTTTAATTACTAATTATTTTAAAATCTCATCTTGTTAAATAATATCAATTTTATAATTTTATAAATTATTATTTTAATAAAAATTTAATTGAAAATATATGGATAATTATCTAATGTAACCAAAATTTAATAGAGTAAAATTATTAGGTAAATAATGATCTTTCAAACGTAAGGCTTATACTTTGTGCATGGGTAGAAATTACAGATCCTGTGGTATAGATGGGTTATAAAATTGGGGTCCCAACAAAGAATCGACCAGATGAGAAAAACGCAATAATTTGATTAGATCAAAAATTTTAATTGTATTACATATTTATTAAATAAATTATAAATTTACATAAAAATGATAATTAATATAAAAATTAGAAATAAATTAGTTAAAATAATTTTATAAATTTTTGAAATAATCTATAATATTTGAAATGGGCGGTTCGTATAAAAATCGCCATCTTGAATACATTAGGTAATCAGTTTTATTAGATTTTCCAAACTTGAACTTGTTGTCATAAAGGTCCCAGCGTAGAATCCAACGTCCCATATTTTTTATTTCTGATTGTCTTGCTAAATCTTCCTTTTTAGGATAATAAATATCTTTTATATACCACCGCATAGATAATCTTAAATCGATATCCGTTTTATTAGATGAAGTTTTGTTTAAATTATTTCGAGTTTGAATCTTACCCAAATTATTTACAGTTCTATTAAAAAATAATGGTGGTGGAGTTCTCCTCCAGATTGGTATTGGCGTCACCCGAAATAATGTTGTCACTAATTCCTCGATCTTCCAGGGTTTTGCCTCCAAGTCGTTAGCCAATAAGAATGGAATAAATATTAAAATAAATGAAAATATTAACATTTTAAATAATAATAGAATTTTATTATTAATTGACTTTATGGAAAATAATTTATTAATTTTAATAATAATTTATCTCAATATAAAAATTTTTAATTTGATATTAATAAATAGTTTACAAAATTTAACCTAATCAAATTCATGTATATTATTGCGATTCCGACTTAGTGTGTGCGCGCGTATATATCTTATATAATTGTGTACTGTATCATATGGACACTTCAACCTTGCAGGACCCATCGTTAAGGGAATATGCCTGATAAATGCATATATTTTAAATTTTTACTTAAAATATCTGTTATTTCTCTAATTATTACATCAGTTTTATCTTGTATTCCTTAATTTTACAGATATTTTATCTTCTAACGCTTAACTTTGCATTTTTACCCCCAAAATCTATATCTTCCATTGCTTAATTTTACATGAACTTCATCTTCTATTTATTAACTTTACATTAATTTTATCTTCAAATCTTAACTTTATATTAATTTTATCTTGTATTCCTTAATTTTACAATTATTTTATCTTCTAACGCTTAACTTTGAATTTTTACCCCCAAAATCTATATCTTCCATTGCCTAATTTTACGTCAATTTTACCTTTTAATCCTTAACTCTGCATCAATTTTATCTTCCAAATTTTTAGTACACACATTTATTTCATAAAAAAATAAATTTAAAACACAATATTGTGTGCGTGTATGTCTGGTAGCAATAAACTATTGAGAAGAAAATTAGTTTAAAATTTTTATTATGATAATGAAATACTCGAGTCTTCCCGAGCACAAGATGTATGAGGAATAGTCTAAACTTCAAATATAAAACAGATTTAAGTCAAGCGGTTGGGTAGCAAGTTAGCTAATAGACCATGAAGTTTAAGGATTGAATATTAAAAGATGAATTAAATTTTCAAATAAAAGAATGATTTTATCCTCCATTCCTCGACACCGATTGAATATATACATAATAGCATATTTAGACAAATGATAACAGCAGACTAATTTACAACTAATAGTATAATTAGTAGGACTCAAATTACTACATTTTATCCTTTTGGTTCAAAGCTGTCATAGGCATACTCTATTCTTTTTTTTACACTCTGCTCAAAACAATGGCTACTCTTTTCTTTTATCGGACCCCACCTCACTACGAGAGTTCCAATATGCCCACACGCTTTACTATTTTTGCCGCGATCTTTAAAAGTGTGATTTTTGAATTTTTATTATTTTATATAAAATTAAATATGTTGTTTTTATCTTCAAATTTTACAATATAATTACATTAAGTCCATCTTTTTATGATTATTTATTTTATCTAAGAAATAAATATATCTTTTTACCGAATTATACAATATAATTAATTCATTTGAACTTGCATCCTTTTTCAACTAACCGCCGAAAAACTTCCTCCACAGGAACTGGTTAATTGCACTCACCGCTCACAGTACTTATAATTAACCTCTGACTCCACCACTACCAAACATTTCAATATCAAGTTGAATAGGTGAGGACTTATCCTTAAGAAGGGGAAATTAATTGTTACCTTAACAATACCTATAGGATTTGACTAATTACTTTTTAATTATTAATTATTTTTTAATTATTAATTACTTTTTAATTAATTAATAATTACCATCCCCTTACTTCGTAATCCTATTACTTTTTAAACTAATTTAAGTAATTACTTTTTAATTTGATTTTATTAATTAGATTTTATTACTTTTCAATATACCGCTCAGATCTTTCAAATAGAATAAAGAATTTATGTTTTATTATTTAATTATTATGTATCGGGTTTTTAATTAGAGAGGGTTTAGTGAGTGCGGGATTTATTTGATGACTAATATCGCAACCATTTAATTAATTACGATAATTATTGATTATTAATTATGGTCCTTTTATTAGAGAGGGTCATTAGGCAAGGGTTATTATTCATTAAACATGGGCTAATTGTTCTCGGACCCCTTTAATTCAACCCATTTAATTAACTAATAATTTTTAATTTATTAAAAATTACTTTTTAATTTGCTAAATTAATAATTACTTTTTAATTATTTAATTAATAATTATTATTTAATTATTATTTACCCTTCCCTCTCATTCAACCATTTAATTAATTAATAATTAGTTTTTAACTAGTTAATAATTATTATTTAATTATTATTAATTACCCTTCCCCTCTGAATAAATACATTTAATTAATAATTACTTTTTTAATTAATTATTATTTAATTATTAATTACCCTTCCCCTCCCATTCAACCACTTAATAATTAATTAATTTTTAATTATTAATTAGGGGTTTCTATTAGAGAGGGGTTACCTTATACCCTTTCAAGTGCCGCCGACCCCTTCCGTAGGTTTAGGCTTCCCAGTCAAACCCTTCCATAGGCACTAGTTAATTGACAGCGGACCCCTCCACACCCCACTCATTCAAAAGGTTTGTCCACTCAAACCCTCCCATACCCACAGGTTAATTGACTATCGACACTTTAATTCAGTCCATTAATTAACTAATAATTACTTTTTAATTATTAATTAATAATCATTAATTACTCATTAATTATTAATTACCACGGACCCCTTTAACCCCTTTAGTTTAATTAATTATTTAATTATTAATTACCCTTCCACTCTCATTAATTAACTAATAATTAATTTTTAATTGATTACTAATTAATTTTAATTGCTAATTAGGGGCTTCTATAGGAGAGGGGTTACCTCATACCCTTTCAAGTGACCGCTGACCCCTTCCATAGGTTTAGGCTTCCCAGTCAAACCCTTCCATAGGCACTAGTTAATTTACAGCGGACCCCTCCCCAACCCAATCGGTCAATAGATTTACCTCCCAAACCCTTCTTTACCCTTAGGATAATTGCCCACTGACCCCTTCCCACCCCCACTCACTCAATAGGTTGATCAACCAAACCCTCCTTTAGGCACAGGCTATCCTCTCTCGGACCCCTCCCCCCACGACCCACTCAATACCTTTGAGTTTAGTGCGGGAAATTTTACCGCAAATTACAACGGTGCGTGTGTTTCTACTACTCCGGAGAGTCATCAAAACTTATACTCCCCCTAATAAATAGGTATATATTTAATTTAATTTGCAAGAAAGATATAAAAATACCCGTTGCATTTCGAAACTTCATGAGCCGCCAACCTCAATCCATTGCAATGAATCGAGTGGCAGTACTCGAAGGTGGCCAGGACTTGACCAAACAAGTTGAATAGAGTGGCGATGGTGAGCCATATGGGAAAATTTTTCACAATTTTTTCACAATTTTTCACAATTTCTGAATTTTATTTATTCAGTATAATTTATTTATTTAGTATAATCTAAAGCTAAGCTATAGCTATGGCCTTTCCAAAATTAAAAAATTTTTCGGTATTGGGGGAAATGTAAAGTACCCTACTTAATCATTTAAATCCTAATAATTAATAGGAAAATAAACTTGCCATAAAAGACCTTTCCAAATACTTCAACAAACTCTTTTCCGCTCTTCATTTTCATATCTTAAAAATAATATATAGACCCAAGTTATGATGCCACTCAAAATTTGCTAGGCCTTTGGATGGGGGAGCCGGTTTAATATAACCTCAGTATGGGACAATTTTAGAGCAAAAAGTGAATTTACAATAGGATTCCGATCTAAATAATTTAGATTAACCTACCATTATTTCCTTCAACTCCATTTACATTCACATTCCTTTCTTCCATTTTACTTCCTTTTCCAGCTTTTTTTCCAACCTCTTCAACTTCTTTTCCAACCTTTTCTTCAACTCCTTCTACTCTTCCTCCAGCTCCATTTTCAACTCCATTTTCACACTTATTTCGTTCACCTCCTTCAACTTCTCCAACTTCATCAACAACTTTTTCAACTCCACCAACCTTTCCATTTTCTTCTCCAACTTCATTTTCAGCCCCTTGCCCATTCACATTTTTTCCAACTTCATTTCCAACCTCTTCTTCAACGTCCTTTTCGTCTTCCTCTTCAGCTCCTTTAACTTTTCCTCCAATTCCATCTTCAACTCCATTTCCACCTCCATTTCCATCAACTCCTCCAACTTCTTTCCCGGCTACTTCAATTCCTTCACCATCCTTTCCATTTTCTTTACCAATTCCATGTCCAACACCTTCTTCAACTTCATTTTTAACCTCCTCTACAACCTCTTCACCAGCTTCCTTTTCGTCTTCCTCTTTATCTCCTTCAACTTTTCCTCCAACTCCATTTTCACCCTCATTTCCTTCGCCTCCTTTAACTCCATTTTCCCTTTCATTTCCATCACCGCCTTTAGCTCCATTTCCACCTTCATTTCCATCACCTCCTTCAACACCTTCTTCAACTTCATTTTTAACCTCCTTTCCAACTTCTTCACCAACTTCCTTTTCTTCTTCTTCTTCATCTCCTTCGCCTCCTTCAATTCCATTTTCACCTTCATTTCCTTCGCCTCCTTCAATTCCATTTTCACCTTCATTTCCATCGCCTCCTTCAACTCCATTTTCACCTCCATCAACTCCATCACCGCCTTCAGCTCCATTTTCACCTTCCTTTTCATCACCTCCTTCAACTTCATATTCACCCTCATTTCCATCATCTCCTTCAACCTCTTCTTCAACTTCCTTTTCGTCTTCTTCTTCAACTCCTTTGCCTCCTTCAACTTCCTTTTCACCTTCATTTTCTTCACCTCTTTCAACTCCATTTTCTCCTTCATTTCCTTCACCTCCTTCAACTCCTTTTCCACCTTCATTTCCATCACCTCCTTCAACTTCCTTTTCACCTTCAATTCCACCGACTTCTTCAACTTCTCCAGCTCCTTTCCCGGCTACTTCATCGGCAACCTTTTCAACTCCTTCGCCAGCCTTTCCATTTTCATCTCCCATTCCATGGCCAACACCTCCTTCAACCTCATTTTTAACTCCCTTTCCAACTTCTTCACCAGCTTCAATTTCATTCTCCATGAAGATTTTCACATCTTAAATCAATTAAAAATTTTATCCTTCAAAATTCCTCATATTCTTCAATAATTAATTATCCCAAACTACCTTCCATTCCGTTCTCGTTTGAGTTTAAAGCAACAGAGTTGTTGGTTAAACCGAACATTTTTAGAGCGTTTTTAAAAAGTTTTTTGTTTTTTAAAAGATTTGGGGGTTTTAGGAATAAGACAGGTTAATTTTCACTAAATTCAAATTTATTTTATACCAACTAATTTTATGGGCGTGGAAAAATTTTGAAAAAATTTTTTTTTAATTTAATTAAATGAATCACACAATTTGAATGCCTGATAGCTTATTTAACTAATTTTTATATATTCTCTCTCTTTTTTTCTCCAATTTTAATTACATAGTTGGCCTTATCAGATGGATATGTTAGAGAAGAGTAGTTAAAAACGGAAACTGATCAAACCAAAAAAAAATAAAAAATAAGCAAAAGCTAATAGATTAAATTAGTAAAAATTAAATTAAAGCTAAACCAGCTGATTTTGCTGGGAAATTTATTTTTATTTTTCAATGTGTGTGGTAAATATTTAAAAATTAAAATATGAGTAATTCAAAAATTTGTAAAATTAAAAGACTAAATTTTTTAATCAAAAAATTTTATAATTCTAATAAATTATCTTGTTGATTTGCCGTATATCCGAGTTGTGCCGAAACAGATTTTAAAAACGAAAGACGACTAAATAAAAATGAAATACCAAACAAGGACGAAAATCAACAAAAAATCAGAACTTTAATGGCAAAATGAGGTAGTATGTATTCTCCCCTTTATTTTAATATTCCTCAATTCAAGTTTGAGTTCAAAACTTTGCGCCATCGAAAATGCAAAGGCGGTTAACAAAATTGCCAACAAGGTACCGCAACCCAACAGCCCCAAAAACTGATCGACAGAGTGAATAACTAACTAGTTATCAATTAAACAACAAAGAGAAAGAGTGATCACTAGATCAACAAAGAGAGATCAATTGGTCAGTTGATAAATTGATTAGTCTATATATTAGCTCAAGACCGGATATGAGGACCATGTAGCTGAAATCTAATGTCCTGTCCCGAGATCCACAAGTTCAATTTTCAATCCGAACTTGTGGATTAAAAACCGAACTCTATGATTAAAAAGGGTAAGATCTTGATTTATCTGTGCCTCATTAAATCACTCGAAAACTTAAGGTTACAAACATTATTTCTTTAATTTTATCCGAAATTAATTTCACAATTAAAGGATAAATATGTAATGAAAGGAAAATTAATAAGCGCATATTTTTTCAATTCAAAACACATGCATTTGATGATGTTGAACACTTCAAATTAGGATCCATCCATTTTGATGATACAGTATTATTAAGTTGAAAACCGTTCCCCTTTCGAGTATATTGTTTAAGTGTTCCATCGTCCAAATTAATTAGCAACCCTCTTAATTCCGCCACACGGTCCTTAAATAAAAAATTTTTCCGCACATTTTGCTCTTTTTATTTTCTCTCAATACCAAAAATATTTTTCAAAATTTTTCGAAATTTCCAAAAATTTTCTACAAATGATCTAGACAAAATTTAATTCTTGCCTTAAAATCGTTTATGTCGATTGCTGGCAAATTAATTTTGATTGTACTTTTAGTTCCACCGCAACTAAAAATAAATTTGACATTTAAGATTGAACTAACAATTCAATACATTTGATAAAGATAAATCTCAATTTATGAGACATTGTTTTAATTTTTTGGTAATTTAGTTGGGGAAGCTGTCTGAGCGATACCTTCTATATACGATAATATTGTAAGATACAGCCTCTGGGAGAAAAATTGTACCTTATAATCAGAAGCCGGTCGGAAATGACGAAGGTGCCAGAAATCGGAACTATCGGAAATCGGAAATGGCTCAAAAATCGGAAATCGGAAATTAGCATAAAATTTTGAGAATCGTAAGAATAAAAGCTCAAAAATCGGAATTCCGACCGATCTTTGCTTATAATGAGCTATACTTAAATTAATGTATGCTTATCATAAAGATTATTTGAATAAAAGTGTATCTAGTATTTAATGTATTTTTTAGCTAGTCTGAGTTATAAAAATGTTACTTATGCTCAATATGAAGTTTAATCTCTTCATATTTGTTAGAAGCTTCATAAATATTAAAAATATTGCCGCACTGGCGGTGTTGCATTATGGCGGGTAATGTTATCTTGGCAGTATGGAGGTCAATATCCTTCGATGCCGGCATCTTAATGTTAAGATCGCCAACCCGGATTGCAGTATATTCGTGCTCTTCTGAGCATTTTGAAAAGAAGCCTCCACTGGCCTCAAAGTGTGTCAGGCTAAGGCCTGTAATCATTCCGCCTTTAGAGCAAGTCGCGCAGCCATCCAAAATGACAAACATAGCTGTTATATGGAATTTAAAATTTTTATTTTTAGGATATAATTTACGGTTATGCTTGTCCTCCTTGTGGACATTTGTAGGATATGTGTCGTTGAAGAAATGTGCCTTAAAATCAACAAAATTTTAATTTCATGAAATTTTTCATTTTTACTCTTTTGAGTAGAAAAAAACATTTAGTCAGAATCCCATAAGATTACTTCTAGATACACCTCTATTTAATATACGTTTCTTAAACTTTGATTAGATACTGTGAGGAGGACCTGAGGGTAACCTCTATTTAAGAGACACTCATTCCAAGAGTATCAATATTTTTTACCATAAGTATATCGTATAGTGTAGTGATGCTCGGGAGAAGAAAAGCCCGGGAATCGGGAAAAGGGGAGTCGGGTCAGGAAATGACCTTGGGAAGTCGGGAATCTAACATAAAAAAATTTAGACTCCTTCGCGGAAAATTTTGCCATTCGGAAGTCGGGATACCCGAGCGTCGCTAATAGTATAGTGAGATCCGACTAATTAAGTAAATCTGAAGCATTTAAAAAACATACAAACGAGCAAAGTTTCATATTATCAAAAAAGGGATTCCCGCAAACTGGCATCTAAAATTAGTAATCATAATAATTGAATCTTAAATTATTTTAAATACAGTGACAATTTTTGTGAAATCTGGTGAATCAGGATTTGCAAATTTGAAGTTTTTTGGAAGCCGGCCATTGTAAACACAATTGCAATAGTCTAGGCCTACTTCTACCTTTTTGCAAACATAGCCTGATTTATTTTTATGGGAAATGGCAATTTCTTTTTGGAACACCTGATGAGTCAGTTCCTTCTCTGGAGCAGGATTAGCATTGACCTGTAAAAATATTTAAGAAGCTCTACTCTCATCATGTGCCCAAAAATTTTTAAAAAGCTTAGCTTAACTTGATGTGTTCAGTAAAATTACGCCGTAAGCTCCGGTTCCGGTAAGCCGGAAGTTCCGAGATTTTTTGGTTCCGGTTTGCTTTTAAAGTTCCAGTTACATTTCGCTCTTTCAATTCTAGTTAAACCGGAATATTTTAACGCCCCTAGTGATTTGGGGATGTTGATTTGGGTGTGCTTTTTAGCACCCCCCAAGATTTGATCGCATCTTTTATTTAAGATGCGATTTTTAAAAATAGATTGGCAACTTATTGGATAAGCTTTATAAGCGATAAACTCAATTTAAGATATAGGATGAAAAATTTTCATTATAATATTAAAAACTTTCATCCACAGGGGTATCTAATGTTGATGTCTTACTATAAATTTTAAATATATAATTCAAATTATTTTCCTGTATTTTTAAAAATATTACTTGATTAACAAAGATGATAATTTGAGCAATAATATAAAAATAGAAAACCATTTTTATTTTTAATAGAATTAGAATTTTATTAAAATTTTATTTGAAACTCTTAAAAAATTAATTATTCATTAAATTAATAGAAAATTAAATTTTAAATAAAGTAAATAAAGTAATTAAAATATAGAAAGAGTTTAACAAAAGTATAGCCATCGGGCAGGATTGGACCTCCAAACCTGCAACCTCCTGACAGTTATTGCTAGGCGCTTTAGCTCACCACATACAGCAGCCACTACTGAGCTACCGGGGCATCGACTAGTGCTTTCAATATTTTAGACCTAATAGTGTGGTCTTACAGTGAATTTATTTTGAATTTAAAGCTCTAGGTGAATCATCCTTGGAATATTTTGAAGACTAAAGACGATGAAAGACTGATATGATTATAGCTTTATTTTTATTTATTTAATACACCCGTTAAATAAAATTCTTACATAATTATTTTAAATTAAATTTTCATTAGAAATTCTAGTCCACTCCTTTTTAACTTTAAAGGCGAATTTTTTATAAAATATTCTTGGAGAAAAATTAACTAATTTAATTCACACATTTATTTTGACCACGTTCAGCCAAATTAAAATAAAAAAATTGAAGAGAAAAAAAACAGCTGAATTTTTTCCTATGAAAATAAACTAATAGGGGCCGTTTAAAGCCCTTTTTTTAAAAAAATAAGAAAAAATATTTTTAAGAATTTGGATTTTTTATGATGCCATTATTCAGCTAGTGCTGTTTAGTAAAATAATTCTAAAAAATAAAGTCGTCTGATTATTCAATTAACTATTCAGTGTGGCTAGTTATGCAAAAAATTAAGCAAGGAAATTTTTGAAGATCAAGAAGAATTTTTTGAGTGATTAAATGATATCATAAAAATAATGCAAATCAAATATATTTAATTTAATTTTGCATATTTTTTTATTGCTGTTTAGAAATTTTGAAAATTTTATTATCCCTCTAAAATCAAAATCTGGAAGGATGTCATTAAAATCTTAAAATTTGCATTACTTTTTTAATATCTGATAGGATTAGCCTGAGTTTTTCTTGATGGTAATTAGAAAACGTCTAAAATTTATGAAGATTTGGTTCAAAGAGCTTAGGATACATCTAAAACAATGGTTTTTCTGATTTCAAATTCACTATTAATTTAAGGACAGTTTCTTAAAATTTTAAACTCGATATTTTTTTTCAAAATATATTTAATTATTAATTAAATAAATTTTTTTTTATTTTTGATATTATCCTTAATTAAAATTTTTAGTTTTTGCTGATTTCCATTTA